CTGTTTTTTTTTTGTATTGACTCAGAGTTGTAGTTTTAAGGCAACCACTCGCAATTCTGTATTCCCTGCCTCTAAGGCTTCCTCCTGAATATTCTGGCAGCTGTGCTGTCATTCAAATTAGGGGGACGAAATCTGCATTGTGTTTGCAATCCTTGTAGTCACAGAGCAGTAATTCTGACATGGAACTAAACCTCAAATGTTTTAGTTGGGTGTAATTGCTGTAGAGACTAAACTCAAAGCTACACAAAGGATAAGTGGACCATTACTAGAAGTTGGACGGATTCTGGTTGTATGGAGGTATCTCTGAGCCGACAGTCTGCCATGTGTGCACAGGCTTAACCATCTTGATTTAACACAACCATGGTTATATAGACATTGAAAAAATATATACTAAGAGTGTGCAGAGGTGGGTAGTTCAGGTCCAGAGAGTAAAAGTCCAGGCCAAGATTTTGTGTCAACCAAACAGTACTCTGTGCCTGTGACTCTTTATACTCAACTGGTTGGTTGAAACCAAATCTTGATCTGGACTTTTACTCTCTGGACCTGAACTACCCACCTTTGTCTGTGTGCAAATTAATAGATGAAATGAATATTGTGGATGGCTGTTTGGTGTGGTTGCTTTCAGTGCAGTGGTTGAGCTTAGTAAGTGGCACTGTGATCTCTAACTCCACACAAATATCCACAGGGGAATGTTATCGCCGTGTTTCACCAGGCAATTGTCAGAAAAACTCCATATTTCTTTAGAAATTTCATTTATCTCTTTCGAGTGTGAACAACAGGACCCTGATATCTTGCCTGAAGGGTTGAGAACTTCCTCCAGAGACCTCCTATCTGGCAGCCCAGTTAGTGGTAAACACCCTTCTATCCGGACATGGAGACTGCCAGAGATTTTGAGCTGTGCCAGAACGTCCCTTGGGGTAGGGATGGGGGGGTGGGGGGGGTGTGGTTGTATGCTGTTGTTCTGCTACCAGTAACAGGGAGATGCTTTAAGTCAACCATGGTACTTGCCTATTCAGTGCAACTTTCAGTTTCTGGCCAGTTATATGGATAAATAATTTACAGAAGCTGTTTAACAGACCTTCCCCAAGGCTACTATCTTTCCCAGATAGCCTCCATGTCCTCATGCACTGCAACAGATACTGCCTTGTACTACAGACCTGTCTGGTTGGGTGACCAGATAATCCACGTCATCCTGGACACTTTGAGCTACTTCAGGTTTTACAAACTACCTTAAAACCCAAAGGCTCCTGTGTTTGGCTAAATAGTTCAGTTCTTGTTGTGCTTTGACTGGTTTGTTTCCTTGACTGAAAGACTCATCCAGCTGTTTCACATTAACATTAGTGACACATGCATGATTATAGGAGACTGACAAATCAGCACGCAGCAAGAACTCTGTGCTAAAGTGAAATCCAGGTTCTTTTCATTGAAAAGGTAGTTTACAAATCCTGTCCTGGCTCAGTGTCCTCCCTGACATGGATTAGGCGGCCATCCTACTGTCAGGTTCTTGAAGGTTGTTCCCTGCGAGAACTCGAGTTTCTCTTCCTCTAGTCCAGTGAGCTTAGGAAAGAGATGTTTATCGTGTGACGTGTGTCTGCATTTGTTTGATTCTGCTCCAGAATTTTATCGTGTAATATTGCAAATGGAACTTTTGAAATTTGTGTTAAGTTGTGAGTTTAAGGTTCCGGAGACAGTTCCAGCTTGAGTTTCTCCGTTACCTGTTTTTTTAACGATTAGTCTGTTGTCTCTCTCTTAGAATTGGGTTTAAGGTGATATGGGGGGGGGGGGGTTTAGCGTCTTTTGACTTTTGGAGCCTCCCCAGTTGGCATTATCTGGCAGCAGGTTGACATGAGATCTATGAACATTGCCAGACACTTTCACTGGATATTTTGGCAACACGTGCTTCATAAAAGGCTTAGGAAGGCATTTTTTCCCTTTTGCCTGGAAGGCTTGGAGATGAAAGTGCCCCTTGCATTGTCTGGGCTGAATGCTGAACAGAGAAGGAAAAGCGAGCGATAAAACTGGCAGTGAGAAAATGCTCCCTTATTGAAAGCACCTGTCCTTCCTTGATCTTTAGAGGCATGTTGGCTTAGAACAGCTCTAAACTTCTCTTCCAGATTTCTGTGCAATATGTAACACTTTCAACAATTTTTTTTTTTTTTTTTTACTATTTTGTAACAAAGGTATATGGAAACGGTTAGAGAACGTGTTAAATGACTGGAAGAACATGGCCAATTATTTTGTGGCGCACAAAGCATAAAGTAACTAGCCACCACATGCACTGTACTGTAAGTGCAGTGAGGCAAAGTCTGCAGTGTCCCATCTTAACGGTGACCCATTAATTTTTTTAATGCCCCTTGTAGGGCAGAAAAATGGGTGTAATAGATGTCTCTCGGGCCAAAATCTTGGTGCCGTATAACCCATATTGCCACTGCAGTAACTACGCGATTATTTTCTAACAACCAGGGTGTAGAGAAGCTGAAAATAACCCACATTATGGTCATTATGGCTTTCACCAGTAATCACATAATAAAAATGTCTTAGTCCTCGTCGCTTTCGGTCTGTGGGTGACACCTTGGCCATAAGCTTCCGCAGATCTGAGAATCGACGAGAAGAGCATCTGTTTCATTTGAGTGCGTCGAAATTCCCTCTTGTCGGCATTCATTTAGTGCTGTGGTTAAACAAGTTGCTGTAGACGTTAATTGGCTTCAAGTAAAGCCTACGTAACAATGAGCCATATTCCACCAACACTGTTGATGTGTCTTAGTTTGAAAATAACCTGTAAAGCTGTCTGTGTGGGTCCCAGTGCCCCAGTGCCCCAGTGCAGTGACGGGGACACTGCGGCCTGCAGGGAAGCCCGTCCTGTGGTCTGTGTGGGTCCCAGTGCCCCAACGCAGTGATGGGGACACTGTGCTATAAAAATGGCACCATTCTTTGGATGAGATGTAAAACCGAGGTCCTGATTCTCTGAGGTCATAAAAAATTCCAGGGCATCTTTCAAAAGAATAGGACTGGTAGCCCGATGCCCTGGCTAAAATTGCCCCCTGTAGCCCTTTCAAATCTGGCCTCCTAATCATCCCCAGTATCTAACTGGTGAATTCTCTCCTGCCCCTTCACCTTAGCTACTGTGTGGTGAGCGTACTGGTGCAGAATGGCTGCCATCACGTCATTCAGGTGGGGGCTGCACAGTGGTGGGGGTTGAAGTGGCTCCCCATTGGTTATATAAAGCACTTTGGGTGTCTTGAAAAGCGCTATATAAATGTAACAAATATACATGCAATACATCCATCCGTTCATCATCCCTCTGAATGTACAGGGAATCATCACTGGGGGGTCGGGGGGGAGGGGGGTAAAGGACCATCTATCAAGGATGTTAGTCCACCTCTGGGCACTGATTTGCCAAACTGCATGAGTATTGAGTGCAGGAGGAAGCCACAGTACCTGGAGAAAGCGCATGTAATGCGAGGAGGACGTGCAAACTGCAGGCATGCGGCGGGGTTGGGTTCGGGCCTTCGGTCTGGGAGGCGCGAGTTCACCTGGCTGTCAGCTACAGCACCGGGCCGCCCGTATCAATTACCATGAATCTCCATAATTAACAAAAAGATCATTTTGATAGTGTGTTTATAGTTTGTATCTCCCTTTATTTAAAAAAAAAATATATGAAATTTTAAGTAGAGTTTCATTTTACATTTTAAACCAGTTTACAAACTCAGGAACCACTGAAAACTGTTGGCAGCAAGCCTGTACATTTTCCCTAATTAAATCAAGGCTAGACTACACAGTTATGGTATGTAAAGAAGGCCCCTTTTACTATGCTGTGGTCTTAGGGAAATGTGCTACCTAGCCAACTGCACCAACACAGTCAATAAAACACAAGCACATGTTTAAAACGAAAAAAGACAATACCAGAGGCTAGAGAGGAGATGAACTAAGCCTGCCCTTAAATGTGGGATAAACTAGAGAAGTTTATGCAAAGGGTTCATTGTGCTTTTCCTAATTTTGAGGGAGCCGATTTCAATAATATTACTTTTATTGATAATAATGAAATCAGTTTCACTCCGTCAAGTTTAAGGAAAATTAATTACAAAAGAAACAATCTGCACAAAACAACTCTCTGCCTTTGTGGACCCACACTGTCAAACTGTCAACTTTACAATGTTTATCTAAACTCCAGAAGGCATGAGGGCACTGTACCATCTCCCGCGGTGATTTATTTATGAAAGTTGGCTCCGCCGATATGAGGCGTACCCTAGCAGTGAGTTCATGCTTCTCTGGTTTGCGTGGGGATATCTGATCTGTCGGACTCGCTCCAGGTCCCCGTCTACAGCTCTGCAGATCTGGAGTCCTGGCAAGGAATGAGGAGACCAAGTATATCAGCTGGCTTTCTACGGGAGCCTATTCTCGTGCCGGTCAATGACAGCAGAAGGACGGTTAACAACATCCAATCCCTGCTGTCACGCCAAGCTAGATCAGCAGTGTTCGGAATGTTGTCGAAAGTTCCAGAATGTCATCAGCCTCTGTGATAAAGCATTGAATTGTGTTGCAAGTGCATTGAATTTGTGCAAATGAAGTGGTTCTGCATAACATGTGCTGCGGTCTTCATGTCTTGAAGTTATTAATGATGCGTGATTAGGGCATATTGTCTGGCCTGTTCACAACTGGCATCCCAACTGGAGAGAACGTCATGCTTGTAGTTTGTGTTTATGATTATTCCAGTACCAAGTGGATGTTCCCTTATTTTAAGTGCTCGGTAATCCCTATTGCTCGGATTTCCGCCTGGTGGCAGGACCATGGTTTGGCCGTCTGTAAAAATTCCTCTTGTCAGCAGGGTATAACTAGACACTGTAAGCCGTTAAACGCCATATGACACAAATGCCTGACCATTGACCGCCGTCTGAAGAGTCATTATCAGGGTATTAAAATGGAAGCCTTTTTGCCTCTTTTGCACAATCGTCTCCCTTTTTCATTGTTTCTGTGGTCAAAACCAAGATATTTGATAATAAACTGTTGCTAAGCTAAGAAACCTTAAAAAAGCTTCTTGTAAAATACCCGATTTCTGTAAATAGGTCCCCTTTGTATCATACTGTATACTTTTTAAGTTCTCTGGTTTACCAGCGACGTGACGTGTGCAAGTAACTGGGCTTGGATTCCTTACTGTAAGATACCCCCTCTGCTCTGTCGCTACGCATGCTGTCCGTCATCCCAGTGTATGCAGACTCTGGCATTATTATGTTTCAGGGTCTAAGTGATCATTTTCAGGTTGTCTACCGCTTGCCCGTACAGCTATAAAATACATGATATAGTTTCTTTTCCATTTTCAAAATAGCTGGCATCGTGTCATAGGTATATCTTGCCTCGTACCCTATTTTTCCTGGGATAGGTTCCAGGTGTACCATAGTATTATACTGAATACGGAGGGTGGAAATGGAAGGACAGATGGACAGCATAATTCTAGCTGTTCGGTACTATCAGGATATGAAGTGGTGAGGATGCAGTTTTTGAGACGGGAATTGGCAAAGCATTCAGGACATTATGGTTGGGTGGATGTTCCTGAACTCATTCAGATCCCTGACACATTCCCTGAGGACTTATAGGTCCTAAACCCAAAGCAAACATGTAGGTTACGCATTTCACAAGCCAGAGGGTTATGTCCTGGGTAGTACTGAACCAATTCACTCCAGTAAAATATCAAGCTGTGTGCAAACGGGTAAAATTGCAGGTTTTCAATAAAACTGTTGGCCAAGTAACTGAGTCATAACAATGTATTACTGAAAATAATAGCAGGAAATGTTCTTTCTGCAGAAGCACTGTCTGATTTATCTTCAAGTGACTATTCTTTCAACTGCTGGTGGGCTGTGGGTTTTTTTTTCAGTGTCTAAGACTTACTAAATATCTCCTGCTGTTTTCAACTGGCCAAGAAATCAATTTCAGCTATATTTCAAGCAGGAAAATGTAGAGGGAGGCTTTCAGAAGCTAGAAAAGCCCTATTCTATAATATCTGTATCATGCCATTGTCTGTTAACGGGTCCCCAGTCAGTGGCATCACATAAGTAGTGAAGTGTCACTTTTCACACGGCCGCTGAAGTACAGGCTGTACTTTTGCAGGGGGCAGTAAATAAATAAATGAACCCCAAGTGACAGATGATATCTGGAACAAGCCTCAAGTCGCTTTCCCATCCAAGACGGAGAAGGCCAGGTCTTGCTATCTGTGATCTGCTCTTCTGAATGGACGTCCAGCAGAGATGTTGCCAGGGTATGCGGGGGTTTGCATCGCGTCGTTTGGTGCGGTTTGGTGTCGAGACCGTGTAGTGGACCTCAAAAGTAGGCAGATTTCCAAGTCCACATGTGAACTGTGCACGAAGCGAGTGACCCCGCGTGCACAAGTGCAGGTACCTAGCTTTCACATGTCCCGTGCTCTACTTTGGAAAACTAGCTTTGCACAGCTCTGTTTCCCTCCCACGGTCCAAAAGCATGCGGGATAAGTTGATTGGTGAGTCTAAATTGGCCTGCGGTGTGTTGGCTCCTGCCCAGGGTTGGTTCCCGCCTGCACCCATTGTACCCGGGATAGGCTCCGGTCCCCCCCCGCCACCCCAGTTGAGATTAAGCAGTTTCAGAAAATGGATGGATGGATATATAATACCGGCATATATAATATAAACAGATACAAGCATTTTAAGTGCATGTGGATGTAGCAGCAATTGCATGTATGAAGACATATGAAATGTGACATAGTAATATTTATTATATACTATATTACCAGGGCAGAGTGTTGACGGGAAAAATAAGTGTACTCTTCAAAGGCAGATGTGATCGCGGCCTGGATGATCTACAGCCCCTGGGTGCCCTTTCCTCTGCCGTGGCCCCATCTCAAGCTGTGTTTGAAAGCACATTTTTACGCGTCTTAATGCGCCCTGAGCGCAGTCTCTCTCTCCTTGGCGCTTGGCCTCGGGGCGTCCCGAGTGCGGATATCAATGGTGCTGCGCAGATGTTTGTGCCGTCGCTGCTCTGCCGGCTGAATTAGCTAAAAGGGCGGAAATTAAAGGGCAGTGGTGAAAGGATACGGTTGCCGCAGAATGTAGTCGTTGGCCGGCCGCCGACCCGGAGCTGATGGTGAAGATTAGCAGGATCGCCGCTCGTTTTGTGCGACCTCGCCGTGCCGCTGCCTGCCGAATGGGACCCGGCTCCGTGACGGCTGGCGAGTTCCGCTGATAGATCTGTAGACTTCCTCAATTTATTCATTGATATTTCGTTTTGAAAAGGTACTCATGCTACATTGATAAAGGATAATAATCAGGCTGCTGAACGTTTCTCTGTAAAATCAAGGGTGTAGGTTTGGTTTATATACGTCCCCACTTTCTGTACTCGAATCTACCCCTGCGTGTGTCATTTACTAAACACACACATACACACACAGCTCTGGAAAACTTTATATTCTTTAAAAACATCTCTGCATTTTTAAATCCTGGTTTAATCCCGGTTCCGCTGGCAGAGGCTACACTGAGCGTCAGGCTGATTCCAGGCTCATAGTTTCTAAGACAGCAGTAAACAAGAACAAGGTGAAGCAGGAGACACTGGGAACAACCAGAAACCAGCCAGGTAGAGGGCAGAAGCAACTTTCTAAAGCCAGAGATGACCGTCAATGTATCCGGCAGTGCCTCATAAACCAGAGGATGACCACAAGTGACCTTCAAAAGCAATGGGAAACATCAAGTGGTGGCCTTTCCCTTTAAATTTAAAGGGAGGGTGTAAACGGTCCCCATGCTCCATTGCCATGCCTGTGTGCCTTTCCCTTTAAATTTAAAGGGAGGGTGTAAACGGTCCCCATGCTCCATTGCCATGCCTGTGTGGTTTGGCCCCGAACCTGCAGAGTACGATGCGCAGCAAGCTGGCCTCCAGCAACATGCATTTAACGGCAGTCTCTTTATTTTAAAGTCCAACGGGCAAAATCCTGACAAAACACAATTTTGCTTTGCCCTTAAAATACTAAATACTCATTATGTGTAAATCCACTGTGGCTAAAAGTTTGCTGCAGTATGTAACGAACAAGTCCGAAGATAACAACTGCATTCCAGCAAGCAAGGGCCCAGTGCTGTTGTGTCAGTGAATTTAGGCAGGCAGGAGCCTACCCAGTGTTCTGAAAAAGTGTGATGTATAAATGAGTTATACAGTCAACCAGTAACATGCCTAAACTGACTGCGAATATCACGTTGTGAAACTTTCAGTAAACTTGCAGTCAGGGTAATCTGGCCAATGAGTGAGCTCCCTCCGTCAGATTGCATCTCTTAATCCCCTCCCCCATCATTCCCAGGGTAATCTGGCCAATGAATGAGCTCCCTCCGTCAAATCGCATCTCTTAATCCCCTCCCCCATCCCCCATCATTCCCAGGGTAATCTGGCCAATGAATGAGCTCCCTCCGTCAGATCGCATCTCTTAATCCCCTCCCCCATCCCCCATCATTCCCAGGGTAATCTGGCCAATGAGTGAGCTCCCTCCGTCAGATCGCATCTCTTAATCCCCTCCCCCATCCCCCATCATTCCCAGGGTAATCTGGCC